GTCATCAGCAAACTCACTGCAGGTGCACTCTGCTTCGCCCTCCAGGCCACGAATATAAAAGCCTGACAGGACTGGACCCAGTGTAGACCCCCAGGGCACAGTGCTAGTTACTGGACTCTGTGCCACAGACCACCATGCTCAGGGCATGGCCATTGAGACAGTTTTCAGTCAGCCTCACTGTCTGCTCATCCAGCCTCTTACAGAACAGTTTGTCTATGAGAAGCTAATGAGAATCATTATCCAAGACTCTCTTAACCTTGTCTGAGATTACTTTTGTGTGTACCTTTGTGAAATGAAACCTTTAGTCACAAGATTGTTTAAAATGCACATTCACAATTTACCTATTCCCCATCCTCACCATTATGGAAGTTGAAGCACAGTGTGTAAATTGAGCTTAGAAGGTTAAATAGTTCTGGCTTCTTTACAAGCTATTATTAACTTCATTATTTATAAGTCTCTTTGTTGTAATGTTCTTCAGCTGAAGGTTATTGAACTGTAACTTCCTATCACAGCATCTCTAATTAGGCTAGCTTTTCCCAACACGTTACGAAGCGCGGTGAAGAACGAGCTCTCTGATCTGCTTCTCGTGTTTTGCACTGCGCTCCTACAAGTGACTGAGCTCAGGAGTCTCAGGCCTATAAATACCTTTTTGAATCAGGACAGAATGTTTGATATTATTTTATAAGTTCCACCCTTTCTTCTCTGATGACAAAGGCTGCTGTCTAACAAAAAAGAGAAGATTTGTCTTCAGAGAGAAATGGTTGACATTTCTGTTTTCACCAAGAAAAAAATGGAGAGTCTGGTGTGTTGACCATCGGGCTTTCAGCTGAACCTCTCTGAATGTCTTTTGGTTGTTCAGCTCTCACTGTTTAAAGCTTTTGCTGTAATATATCCCTGACTGGTTTACTTCTCTGATGTCTTAGCTGCTTTCTTTGAGTCACTTCTTTGAGATAGTTGCTATTTGTTTAGAGAGGTGAAAAGTCCACTTAAAGGTAGGATATGCCTAAAATGCCTTGAGGATCCTCTGTGCCTCTGGCTATTTTTATGTCTTGGAGACGACTTTTGTGGTGATCTTGAAAGAGCCTGGTGCCTGGGAGCTCCTGCTATGATTCTGTCTCAGCAGATTTTGCCTTTAGAGGAGACTTTTCACCATTACATCTAAATCTCTCATTGAAATCTCTCATTCTGAAAATTTTGAAATAAAAAGTTTATCATTGTCTTGTTACTTTACATGGAAGAACCTGACTGCCTTCACATGTTTGTTTTTTTCACATACTTGAAGTGTCCCTTTCCTGAAATTTCCAGAAGGAGCTATTATATACGTTACTGGATTGGTGGATTTTATTTAATAAGCAAATAAAAACTAAAAAAATTGACTAACTATATATCTTTCTTGGGTAAGTGAAAAGTAGCTCTGGATCTGATTCTGTTAACTCTACTGACAATTGTGCAGCACCTGAAATGCACAATACTACTTTCAAAAGAGAGTAACACTCAAGGTGAATCAAGGTGACCTTCAGTAAGAACAAGTATCTACAGTACAGCGGAGCATGAGCCTTCCCACTCTTGCTAAACCACCAGGGATTGCCACTGTCATCCAGAACACCTGGAGCAGCTAAAAAAGTTAACATGTATGATTGAATTTTCTGCTCTATTTTAAAAGAGAAAGGCAGGTACCTAAAATAATTTCCTCACCCACCTGGTAATTACTTCTAACTTTTAAGGTCCCACACTTACATCTTGTTTGAGGTCGTTTACACCTCTGCAGGACATAACTGGGCGTAACACTGGGTCCATTCAGATGCATTAAAGGATCAGGGTATGGAAAATTGCTCCCCAGAATGGCTTTCTTCATGATTGGCTTCTCTGCCTTTCCCTGAAGCAGTAACAGGACAGATAGATGGCACATAGAGCTTTTGTTTTCTGTGCTAACAGCAGCTCAAGGAAAAGGCCACTGTTTGCTAGCCAGATCACCTATGACAGCCCTGACATGGAACCATAATAACAGCAATGCCAGCCAGAAAGCCTGGAAAAGGTGCACACTGAGTATGGCGTGCCTTTGAAATAGTATTTACTATTCATTTGTTCCTTAGTCAGGAGGGATGCAAATCCTTTTTCTGCTTGTTAGGAGACTGCAAAGCCAGACCAAAGAGCTATCCCTGGGCACAAATTTTAATTTAGATACTGGGAATAGAGCTCAGGATGATTACCATGAATTTGAATTCACATAAGCTCTCTTGTCTCCACACCTGTTACCTGCAGAGCTGCCTTGGCTTGCTAAGCCACAAAGGGAGTGCAGGCAGGGAGTCTGCAGCCACGGTCCCAGACCCTACAGGTGATTCCAGGTGGGCAGATGCCTACTCCTTGCCTTGCCAGAAGTGATCCTTCACCAGTCCCCTGTGCAAGAGAGCCACCTTTGTCTCAAACAAAATAACCATTTCCAGCCTGTCCACAGACATTCCATGTGGAACAAAGATTATTTGCAGGAGCTCTGTGCTTTTAGAATCTAAGGGCACAGAAGAATGCTGGATAATTTATTCTGATCTTCTCTGTATTGCAAGAATTTCCCCTTTGTAACTTGGTCTGCAACTGATGTTTTTCTTTTGACTGAAGTAAAATCTGGTTAGCTGAGGGCTAAACAAAAGGGCACTGAGCTTTTAACTGAAAATGTCTAAAAGCACAGAATCCACTAATTTTCTTCCTAGCCTGTCCCAGTAATTAATCAATTTGGTAGTAAATACTGGCTTATAGTTTCCCATATGTATTTATAAGGATCCAGCTTTTATCCATGCATCTTCCCCCTGCTTATTTAAAGGTCTTTTAGATGATACAGTTCTTCTCCCCTCACAAAAAACTTACGTGCTGCATAATCCACTCACCTTCCTTCCAATAATTTAAATCAACTGAAATGTTCAAGTTTCTTATTGTATGGCATTTTCCCCAGGTGTCTAAGATTTACAGGTCTTTAGTCTTCTCCCAGTTTTCCAAAACACCATGAAAAACATGAATGTGAGAACCAACTGCAGAATTCTAGTGTCAGTCTCATCAATACTGCATACAGGCACAAAAAATCTTCCAGCTTCCTATTAATACTCCCCAGTTTAGCTATTCAAGGATGGCATTAAGCCTTCTGACTTTATGCTGCAATAGGAATTTATGGTTGCTTGTACACTAAATACTATTCAGTGCCTCATTTTAGGAACCAGAGTCCCTGCTTTTACATGAGCAGGCCTGCATTTGTCTTTATTGCAAAATTTTGCATTTGACTATGAAAATGTTCTCCTTCTAATGGTTCCCATTTACCAAGAAATCCAGACTTCTCTCAAATGCTTTTTCTATCCTCATTATTATCCTGCTTCACCCAAAAAACATTATTAGCCTATTGTTATGAGTCCTTATTTATGTTAGACCATTCCTAAACTCTCATAATTCTAAAAGCAATAATTCAGCTCTCACTTAAACCTGTGAGAGCTGAACTATTGTTTTTAGAATTATGAGATTTTAGGAATGGTCTAACATAATAATACATCTGAGTTTTCAACAGTAGAATATCCCTTGTAGTTAGAATTCAGGATACCAGAGCCCTGATGGTTAATTACAGTAAAAGGCATGTGTTTTAGAAATGATATCTTAAAAAGCATTATTAGGACAACACAGTGTGAACTAGTACCCACTACTACCATCTTCAAATTTTAAATCAGAAAAAGGCTTTAAAATAAAGATCTGATAATAAATCATACATCAGTCAACATACCAAATGTTTTATTCTTTTTTTCCTAGCTGCTGCTGAAAGAGTCTGATTCCAAATCAAACTCCTCAGCTGAGATGTAACCCGAGCAGACCTTGCAAGCAAAGGGTGGGTTTAACTGTACACAGGGTGCCCAGTGAGGTGTAGGGGGCTCTCTGGAGTAGCTGGATCCATTTTCCATCACCTTGCATTTTACTTTCAAGGTGATATAACAGCAAATGCCTCCGGTCTGGGGATGATCTCCCTCTTTTCTGCTTGTGGCAGTAGGGCACAAGCCATCCAGCCCCTGGGTGACAGCACATGGGAAGAGCTGCTTCAGGAGGGCTCAGCCTTCAGCTCAGAGGCAGCATTTCATGAGGTGAGGTACTGTCTTAGCAGCTGAAGTTCACAATCACATTTAATGACCACGGGGCTGGGAAATAAGCCCAAACATTTCGTGTCAGGCTTGGACTTGGGTAAAACTAGAGAGGGCATGAATTCCTCAACCCCTCCCCACCCCCAACTCCTCAGATTGCATTTCAGCACATATGTGAAGAAAATGTGAATGTCCTCCTCTACCATTTTTCAGATGAGCTCTTCCTGGCCTACATACAATTAATCCTAGGGAAGTGAACTGCTTGCACAAAAAAGGGACTAAACCCTTAGGAAATTTGATGAACTAAAGAATAAACAAAATATCTGTAAGACTTGATTTTCAAGGGCATGAATCATCCCCAGCTTACGCTTGAGAATACCAAGCAGGTCTGAAAATTGGGACAATCGCTCTGTTTCTGCTGTTAAGTTGCTGCCTCAGCTTCGCTGGCCTTTACATCACCCTATGGCATCAAAATACTTTAGATGTGGTTTTTACACTTGCACACTGAGACTTCATTCAAATTGTTAAAGTACCTTTAGGGAAAATTGGTTTGTTAGCTCTAAACTTAACCTCAAAACATTAAACAAAAAGAAAGGCTGTTTTTTTATCCCCAGAGTAGCTAGTTTGTCATCTGGTTAGACATGTCAGAAAACAAATCTGGTGGGTAAGATTTTCTGCTGGTGTGAACTGGCTAAGCTGGGCTAGCAGGCAGAGTTTGGCCCAACCTTGTTTCACTTTTAAGTGACATAACCCTTTCTGTGCTCTATCCAGCCAGCCCTCCACATCATATGTACTGAACACAATGCCTGCATATCTGCTGGAGTGATTTTTCCTGTCACCTTTCCCGAGGAGACAAGAATGCAAAACATGCTGTACCCCAAGAAAAGCTGCACTTACCCGATCCTCCTCTTCTCTGACATCGGGCATGGTGCTGATGCAGAGGCTGACAGCAGTGATGGCAACAAAAGAGATTGAAATACAAGCAAAGATCTTTCCTGGGATCCCTGAGTGGGGGTTCTCCACCATATCCCTGAGCTTTCGCATGCACAGACTCAGTCGGCTGCTGTCCTGGAAGGCACTTTGCGTAGCTTCATTAAACACCATCTCCCTCTCAAACAGCCTGGCCTCAGCTGCCTCTTCCTCTTTCTGTCGCAGTCTCTTTTTACAGCACCACTCCAGGTGGTCCTCTTCTATCCCCCAGTACACAAGCTCCTCCTGGAACGAAAGAGCACACATCTCCCTGAGAAGCCTCAGCTTCCCAGCTGTCAGGAATGTCATGATTGTTCTGAAGGCACTAGGATTACGGTCAAAAAAAAATTCATTGCAGCTAACATCATAATCATCGCAGATGTCCATGATCTCATCATAATTATTGCAGGATTTTAGCTTCCCAAGCCTGGTCAAGGGGCAGTTCTCCAAGGTGGTCCAGGGAATTTTGTACTTAATACCACCTACGTTGATGATCACAAACCTGGACCGGTCATCCAAGCGGGCTAAGCAGCACAAGTCTTCTCCAGGATGCAGAAGTTTGGCCTTTTTGTAGAAGAATCCTTTCTTGGTTTGCACTTCACAGAGGTTTTCCAAGTTGTTGAAGGAGCGGGAGCTGAAGTCAGGATCTGCATTCCCAGTGAGCAATGCCATTTCGTGGTACATCTGTTGAGTCCATAGGGAGGTTGAGGCTACTCAAACAAAAGCATCTGGAGCTTGACCAGAAAGTCTGTCTGTAAAACAGAATTTTAAAATTACAAGAGAAGTGGGGCACCCTTAAATTATAACAATCCTATCCTCTCCCTCCCGAGAAACTCTTCTCTATGGCATTCCTTCTTCCCCCATTATTTTAGGACTATCTTTGCTTGATAGCTGCTTGAGGAAAGAACTTACACTACAATCAAGTCAGAAGCCATGCTGTTACTTCTAGAGTGTAGAGTAGAGTGTAATTTCTTAGTTAGTGGTTGAATGGAAACAAAACCAGTGTATCATAATTTTTAGAAATTTCTAGAGGTTCAAGCTATATCCTGGACATCAATGCATACTAGAAGAGAAATCTTATCATGTGCATAAATGGCAATTTACAGTTTAGCAACCTAATTAAAAAACTTAGTTGCAAATGTTTTTTTTATTATTTTGGACCATCTACATTATGTTCCTATTGCAAAAAGCCTATAGGGTGAGGATAAAATGGATACTTACAGTACAGTCAGAAATGTCATGGCAAAAACATGGGTAATTCCCAACCTAACTTCAGCAAGCCTAGCAACAGCAATGAATATGTGGGAGCTGAGGGCATGCTGGGTCTGAGCTGAAACCAGAGCTTGCCTGGAAGCCTGTAACTGCTGGAAGCTCTGCTATGGGCTTGGCTGCAGTTGTGGACAGGGTTCCAAGCAGCCTGTCAGCAGCTCTGAAACAGGAGATCAAACTCAGAATGAAGCCAAGCTGGAAGTGACTCGGTTGCTGCTCTTACTTCTGGATAGTGCAGAACACAACTGGACACATTTAGAAGGAATTATGTATGATTCCAGGATTTAATTTGTGCCTCTTGCTTATCCCTGCTTTACCACACCACAATCCACATTGCTTCCTTACTTTCTCTAAAGCCCATCACATGCATTCTTCCAAGCTGTCTCTCTAAAGCAATACTGGGATGTCTTGAAATGCTACCGTGTAATCACATTTGTGAATCACCCAAAATTTCCTGAATTGCTCAAATATGAAGTAGGAAATAAGAAGTCTGTGTAGGATGACTGGGTCTCCACACAAAGACCTGGGCTGAGTATGATGTAGTGATGGGGAACAATTTTAAGCAGAGGATGGAGAAACTGAGAAAGAACTGACTAGTGAAGGAAAAATTGATATTTTTGATGACAGAATGGTAATTGTGAGGCAGTAAATTCATAATTTATAAGCAACAATTCCCTCTGAATCTCATGCCTCAGCTGGGAGAGAAGAACAAACAAAAGGGTGCTAGGAAAAACTGGAGAGCACTCACATTCAAACACATTCCCAGAGGAGCAACTTCTTTTATCCTTAATCAGCTCACCAACTTACCTCATTAGACTTAGTCAAAATGATCTCTGACAGAGACTGGTGAATACTTTCAGTCACAGCCCTGAATCACCCTCTAAACATTCTTACCAACCACTCTCCAACAAAAACACTGCAGTAACAGTGGTATTTTTGCTTCAACATTTCTATGAGGATTCAGTCCCTGAATTTCAGAACAACACTTAGATATTTGTAAAGAGTCAGAGAATGGTTACTTTGTGTGCAAAAAGCAACAGTCATCCAAATATAGTTTTTCAGCACCGTGAAAATTTCAGAAGAGCTAATGATGCCAAAATCTCTACAATTTCACTTCGGGGTAGAGAAATAATAGTTTAAACATTCGTTTCTACAGGGCAACATGAGTAACAGAGAAGAGCTCCTTCATCTGGCTAAGGGCCAGGGAAGGGCAACACATACTCTCAGGAATGGGTGCTTTTACAGCACAGGCTAGAGTGCAGCCGGGATTGCAAATACCATTACTGTCACAGTGAGAGCGCACTGTCAGCACAGCATATGCTTTAAGGATTTGGTCTCTTGTTGCTTTCTCTTGGTAAGATAAAATATTCACAGTCAGTACTGAGGGCTCTGCACTTTTGTTTTCATGCCTCACTTGTTCCACAAGTCAACATACTAAAAGGAGTTTACATTGTTTTGACATCAAGGCCAGGATTTATTTTTTTCCTCTCCCCCGTGTAGCAGGTTGTTGCATAAAGAGGCTACATAGATTTCACAGAACTGCTTTGAATCTAATCTTACATGCACCTCTTTCTCCTTCTAAGCAGCAGCTAACTCAATGTGAAAATCTGTAAGCATGTTGTTTGCTACAAAATCTATGAATTACAGAGGGTTAGTCTTTTATTTTGTGGATATAAAATGATGTTGCTTAAATCTAAAGCTTAAGAATGCGTTTGTTTTTTAATCATAGGTGGATAAATAGAAAGTGAGAGAGAAGTAATTACAAATTAAAGTTGTCTATGATTTAACAGGTTGATTCTGGACAGTGCAGGCAGCACCAGATGCTGGAGTTCAGTAACTAAAATGAATTTTCTGACATCACAGTTCAATGTCCCAGAATCCATAATAGCCGGCAGCATATGTTTTGGATATCTCATATTTAATCTCAGATTAAAAGATAAACATGCGAAGACAGTTGTATTTATTATTCTTCTTGACACTTCCACCTTGTGATCTGACTGCCCAAGACCAGGCTCAGATGTCAGAGAACAGCTTGTGGTGCCATTTTAACTGTCCTATAGAAAACCAAAATGCTGTGGGGTCCCAATTTGGCATCCATCCTGAGAAGTAAAACTAGCCTGGAAGGTCTGCTTCTGATCTTATGTGCATGGAATGTATCATGACTATCACTAAATATTAAAGGGTGTTTCAAAATTATGTAGGTCTTAAAATACTCTCTGTATGCCAGGGTTATCTAATGTATGCACATGCCTGCAGTAAAGCATCCCGTTGAAGATTAATATTAAAAGCCAATACTTCCAGAAATGATACTACATTGTCATCCAGTTGGCATTTCTACTATTTAATCTGACACATGGGTGTATGAAAGACTATTAAAACACAGTCTGGAATAAGTCGCCCATCATAGGGATGAAGGATAGAATTTGACTCTATATTTGTTGTTTATAATTTTGAAGTGCTGTGGGAGAAATGCTGCATGATTATTTCAGTTTGAGGATCATATACAGGGTGGGTCATCCTTTTTTATTTTTGAAGTATATTCCAACAATTTTTATTCACTAAGAAGTACTTTCCTTGGCCATCTGTGTATGCACATGTATATGTCTACACACACATTTAAGTTCAGCCACATTTTGTCAGCAGCAAACAGCTGAGATCTTCACAATACAGGTATTTCTTATCAAAGATTTTAAAGACTTAATAAATGTCAGAAGCACACAACTGCCTCACATTCTTCTTTTTGCTGAATTATTTCCTCAGTGGAGAAAGGGCTATTTTCCTGTTTACTGCCTCTTCACTTTGCCTGTTCCCAGAACTTCTCTTCACACCAGCATTCCTCATTGTCCCATTCTATCAGTATCACTGCATCTAAGTCATATGTGATTCTGCATGAGGTTCCTCTGGTCTCAAGTTACCTTGGATAAGAATGAAAAATGGGGCAAAATCATCCCTACCAAGAGGCTGAGCAGCGTGGCAAGGAGAACTTGAAAACAGTGATGGAAGGGAGGTAGTGGTGGAGCAAAGACTGCAGGGTGCCGTGGCAGGAGAGACCTCGTGAGGAAGGGCAGCCACATAAAGCCTGCACTCATAAGTGGGGGTACAGGAAAGTGTCATGGGCAGAGCGCTCACACCTATTCTGAGAAACCAGCCTGAGCAGGTGGCTCTGAAGGGGCTGCAGGCAAAAGCAGGTGGCTGGGGGCAGAGGAGGGGTTGGGGGTTGAAACGGGGAGAATTTAGAGGTCTTTGTGCAGTTGCACAGAGGAAAACTGTTACTCTGAGGGTGGTCAAACACTGAAAGAGAATGCTGAGAGATGGTGGAAGCTCTGTCTTTGAGGATATTGAAAACCCATCTGGACACAGTCCCAAGTAACCTGTTCTAGCTGATGCCACTTTGAGAAGTGGCAGATAAATCAGATGAACTCTGGAGGTCCCTTTCTACTTAAACTACTCTGTGATTTTGGGAACAGTCTCTTTTTAACTGCTGCTGTAAAATTACAAAGTATTGAAAGCTTACGTTTGGGCTACAATAGCAAGAGGAAGCTGTGAGTCCTTTTAGTAATTAATGTTTTAAGATTTCCTTTGTGAAATGAAACACATTTTGACAGAGAACGGGTAATTGTGTCATAATTTAAAGCCACAAACATAAAACATATATTAGAGTGACCACGAGATGTTTTCTCTCAGCTCCAATGCGAGTTGAGTCAGTGAATCTGTTCCGCAGTGCTCAGCCATTTCTAGTCAGGGATGTGCTGAAACCTGGCATTGCTGCCTGGGACCAAAGCAGTTCCCACTTTTTACTGTGACATGATTTATAAATCACAGCACACACAATCACTTTTACACAGGCATTTGACCTTCCATTTGGTGATGTTACAGCTAATAGTGTGGACGAAGAGGCTTAGGAGATCCATGTTACTCCTGTACTTATTTACAATCCAGTAGAACTTTGACTCCCAATAATAAATCCTTGCCAGTCACTGTGGAAACATGGAGAGGAGAGCACCTGCCCATGAGGCTTACAAAATGCAAAACAGATGGGGTGTGAGAAATACACATATTTAAAAACAAAATGAAATAAACCCCAACAAAACAAAACTGAAAAGGGGACTGGGAGGATATGGTAAAACAGATGCAGCTAAGCCTGGAAGACAGATCCTAGGGGATCTGGGAAATTAGCTTCTGAGTTTGTTCACACCAAACATGATTATGGCTCCCTACATACTCATTATTACAGAATCATAGAATCATTTATGTTGGAAAAGACCCTTAGGGGATCCCTGAGTCCAACCATTACCCTGACACTGCCAAGTCCACCACTAAACCATGTCCCAGAATGCCACATCTACAGACTTTTAAATACCTCCAGGAATGGTGACTCACACTTCCCTGGGCAGCCTGTTTCAATGCTTGACCACCTTATCGGTGAAGAAATGCTTTCTAATATCCAATCTAAACCTGCCCTGGCACAACCTGGGATGTTTCCCCCTGTCCTGTCTCTTGGTACTTGGGAGAAGAGACTGAACCGCACCTCGCTACAGCCTCCTTTCAGGGGAACTGTAACTTGGGCACAGTCAAATTGTACATATTTCTGTATTTACTGCCAGTAAACTTTAATATCCCTAACCTCCTAAGCCCCTGCTTAGGGAAGGCAATAGCTCAAGAAGTTGAAAAGGTACTAGAATTTTGAGCAGCCCTTCATTTTGTCTGTTTCTTCATGAGAGTAACAGGAAGCAGTGACACCACCTTACCCATCTAACAGAGAAAAAAGGGCTTCTTTTATAGGTATGGAGCACAACAGCCAAGATAGTCTTCTCCAGAGAGTGTTTTGGGGGCCTTGAGGAGGATGCTGCATTGGTCAGTCCAAGAAGCCCAGGAGACTAATGCTGTAATGAAGGCTGCAAAATTCAGCATGTGAAGCTGGACATTGTTTCATACACTGAATGTACATTTTCCTTAATATTTTCATTATTTCACTGGAGGAAAAAAGTAATAATTTTCTTCTCTGAACATCCCTCACCACATTTAGGCCACACTACATAATTAGCTGAAACAATTCAATTTGTTAAATGAAAAAATTAACTTGACTCAACATTAATTATTCTGACATACACCCATAGCTATTTGTCTCCATTAGACAGATTATGAGTTATCTTGTGTCATTGCACTTACCAGAGTTCTATAGTGAAAGTAATAACAATGTGACATCTTTATGAAATCAGGAATTTGGTTGAACTACCTATGTGAAACTATGGGATCCTTACCTATATCTTCATAGCTAAATCCTGTCTTATTCTGCACATCCACAAGATTTCTGTGCCCACTTATCTTTGTACTCTAAATAGCACCAAACTATTATTTCTATGAAGCTATTTGCACACTTCAGTTGCACAGCAGACAAAGACAGATGTGCTAGATAAAATACAGACAGAGGAAGAACTGCTTATTTCTGCATTCTACCCAGAATTACAAAATTCTCTTCAGGCTAGCAAGATTAAAGATTTCACAAAGGACTTAAAACATGTATTTCACTTAAAAAGAACTATAAATAAAAAACAAGCAGAGACTGCAAAGATTAGGCAGAAAAGTTTTTCCCCACAGAATTATTACTACTTACAATAAAATAGAGCATCATGTTTAAACCATGCTTTATTTATTTAGGTGACTTAACCTTCAGTTGGTTACCAGAAAAACAGGTTTGTAAAATGTGCTTTCACCTTCAGTTCATATTTCCTGAACAACTGAACAGACTCCAAATATGCACCAAGAGGATGAAAGGGAAGGGACTTCAGAGCAGAGCTGTACCTCCCAGACTCTGGGAAGATTAGATTGGACATGGAGATTTGTTTGATCCAATTCCTGTTAATTGCAACCTTGGATTAAGTATACAGTGTCAAAAGCCTAAAATTAAAATGCGTTCTGTCTGCTCTTGCTTGGTCAGAGACTGAGCCCTGTGAGCACAGTATCTTTGACCCTTACTGGCAGCCACTAGATAGTGAAATTTTTATTCATCCATTAATCACACACAAGTTTATTTTAGGACCTTTACTGATGAATCCTGTTAGTATCCCATTTAATCAGCCAGTCAGATAAGGTACTACGAGTTAGTTGCCAATCTGAAATATTTCTTTTCCTGTTCTTAGTTTGTTGTATTTCAGAATAAAAAAATAATCAAAATCCAGTTTTTAAAGTATCTGCTCCAGTCATGATTACATACCCAGAACTGGCCTAAGATACACCATGAATGGCACTATTAAATGCAAAAGTGTCAGACTGTGTAGTATTTTAAAACAGCATTGTTTATCCCTCTCATCCAGGGAATTAAACAAATTGTCTCATTTCTGTTGCCAAAATTCAGGAAGCACAAAAAACCAAACAAGTTTTGGTGTCTTTGAAAATCACAGAATTACCAGTCAAGTGTTCCAGTTGGTCTGCAGATCACTGCAGGGGGGAAAAAGCAGTTTTTAATTCAAGCTCTGCTCCTAACACTGATCTTTTCTTTCTGATCCATTCTACAGGTTTTTGCAATTCTATACTTAGCAGCTTCCCACCCACATGATTAATATGCTTGATTTCATACAGAATTTACCAACTAGATTTCTCACTAGAAATAAGAAGGTTTGGCTGTGTGACGCCACTCTTAGCCCAGTTTCACATTCAGAAGGTCATAAAGATTTGTGGGGCATTTTTCCTAATAACTGAACCTGTCCTTGTGTCTCTTTCAGCGCCATTCACAGGTTTGTACAAATAGTTGTTAGACACATATGACTGAATGTGAAAGAATGAGAGGAAACAGCCTCAAATTGTGCCAGGAGAAGTTCAGACTGGATATCAGGAAAAATTTCTTCACGGGAAGACTTATGAAGGATTGGAAAGGCTGCTGAGGGAAGTGGTTGAGTCAGCATCCCTGGAGATCCTGCAGACACTGCACCTAGGGATGTGGTTCAGTGCTGACCTTGGCAATGCCAGGCTAATGGTTCAACTCAGGGATCCTAAGGGTCTTCTCCAGCCTAAATGATTCTATGAATAAATGCTCTTGTTAACTGCTCAAAGATTTCAGATGCAGATTTGGCCTTTTAAATTTCCACATGGAATCCTTTGCAGAGAAAACAAATTGTACACAGATGCATCTTGCTTCTCTTGTTAGATTGAATTAGAGAGCACTGGATTTTATGTGTTTTCGTTGTTTTTTTGCAGATGACATTCTTGTTCTCATGTGTGTTTCGTAAGTCAATTGTGCATTGACCTCAAAAATATTCCCATCTCTACTTAAACACAATTCTGTCTCTAAATTTAACATGATTGTGGTTAATTATTAACATCATTGCATACAATACTTTGTAAATTGAGATTCATTAAGATTGTATATTTAATCCATGGTTGGAGTTAACAGGAACTGGATCAAACAAAACTCCACATGCAATAGAATTATCTCAGAGAGACACTGGTTAAAGGATAGTTCCTGGCCTAAAGTCTGTCCACTTTAGCTCATCACTCTCTTTGCGCACATCTGGTGTCCCCAGAGCTTGTTCTGCCTTGTTTGTCCCAATATCCCTACCCACACTCACAGTGACACACTTATTTTGCAGAAGATTAATATGGCTGTGGTTCCAGAGCCCTTGAATGAGGTGACTTCTAAACAGAGGGTGTTCATAACTCTGTGGCATGATGCCCTTACTGAGCACTGGGAATACTGACACAGTGCTAATAACTGCTGCTTAGTGCGGCAAGAATTACCTGCCCTATCTGCTGCGGACAGAATTCAGGAATCCTGTCCTCCAGATGTGTTTTTAAGTGAGGTGTTGTTCCAGATCTGGCTCTGTACACAACTTGCATTTGCACAAGGAACAACCACCACTGCCTGGAACGGGGCGTTCCCAGAGCCCTTTACTTCTATTCTGGGCAGTCTTTACCCAGGGACATCTGCATTTTGCAGCTTTCAGTTGCGGTGAACTGGAAATACTGCAGCAGCTTGAAGTAAATAAAAAAATTAAAATTTGTACTCAAATAAGCAGGAAAACTAATACTATGACTAACAAAGAACCCCTCATGTATTTATATAGATTTAACACAAAACTCTGTTTCAAAATGTCAATTTCATTACACCTTCTGTCCTGAATTCCTCCTAGAAAAATGTGGTAGCAACTGATTCTTTTGTTTCCTGAAAAGGTGGGAGACAGTTTATATTTTTCCCCCTCAAACAGGTAGAGAGGTCTTTTGCAGTTTGGGTTTACAGATGCATTTCCACATTCTTACCCTGCTATTGAAGAGGATGAAAAT